TATAATCTATACAATACTCTCCTTTTACCTATGAATTACTCTTTCTGATATTATTATGAGCATAGATATCACATTCTTTGTTCCAGTATCTTTCACAAAAGCACATTGTTCTTGTCCTACTTCCGGTCTAACTCTGTTATGCGCTCTGTTTGTTGGGATTCAGACGTTAAGCTGCTTTATGTGACTCAGTAAGCTGATTGTCCGATGGAGCTCACATTCATTTGCACCCGGTTTCTTAGGCAGCGTTACGAAAATGGATCCACTAAGGTCCTCCAGTATATCACCACTGTCTTATATTTCATTTATTATTACCGTAATCTTGTCGATGCCGAAATCTTGTAAGACGTCTTGCATCTCTATTACAATCCTATTCCGTCCAGCTGCTTTGTTCCTGTTCATTTGGCCAGTGCTAATCTCACTTCCGCCTATAATATTTCTGATTTTTCCATATTTTTGTGTACTACTGGTTTCATTTCATCTTTGAGCCTTCTTTGCGTTTGAAACACTTCCGGTTGTAGCAAACGTCTTTTCGATGTCATGAACACTATTTCTAGAATTTCCCAATGACTTGAAACACATTCCCAATCGTCACAACTTTCGTCTTTGTTTCAGCAGAAGTTTTAGCTATGATTCAGGTGTTAAAAAAAAACAACCTAATATTCAACTACAATGACTTCTCAAGGCTCCTTACACTTATGTTAATAAGGTGGTAATTTTCTAAGCGTAGATGTGACACAAGGCCGAAAATATGGGGCATCCAGTGAGGATCAAACTTACTATGCAGTCCTAATTAATTTAGCGAGACAATCTTGTTAACCATTACACCACATCGAATTGCCCAAAATGATTTTCTAAGCGTATCTTAGATGTGGCACAAGGCCGAAAGTGTGGAGCACTCAGTTACAATCGAACTCACTATTCTGTTGTAACTGATCTATCGAGACAAGCTTGTTAACCATTACACCACGTCGAAGCGCCCAAAATGATTTTCTAAACGCATCTTAAATGTGGTACAAGGCTGAAAGTGTGGAGCACTCAGTTACAATCGGACTCACTGCACATTTGTAACTGATCTATCGAGACAAGCTTGTTAACCATTACACCACATCGAATTGCCCAAAATGATTTTCTAAGCGTATCTTAGATGTGGCACAAGGCCGAAAGTGTAGAGCACTCAGTTACAATCGAACTCACTATTCAGTTGTAACTGATCTATCGAGACAAGCTTGTTAACCATTACACCACATCGAAGTGCCCCTAATGTTAATAAAATGGAGCAATTTCTACATAAAACTGTTCATGTTATCATAACTTTATCTTTTCAGATCTTTCATTGACCCAATAGTTTTGCCTGGTCTTTTTTTAAAGCACCTACGAAAACGCAACAACTTATTTTCCAGTTCTCACGGTCCACAGACACTACTGATAAAAGCACACTGCTAAACAATTTTAACTTCTTAATAAAATAAAGAGATATAATCATTTTATTTAGTTTGTCTAAAACTTTAACTTTATGTATAAACAGCAATAACAACTTCATATCATTCTACGTTAACATCTGATTTAGAGTTTTCATCTTTGTTATAGATACTATTATGGACGCCTTGTTTTAAAAAAAAAATTCTTTATCCATCTTCCGGCATCAGTTATTTTGGTTGATGTGGTATAAATTGCATATATTTATTTGTATTGTGTTATTTCTGTCTCAGCGATGACGTTTCTTATTGAATCGGAGTATATGGATTTCACTGCGTAAATCCAGGGAGTGAAGTCACGACCACTAAATGGCAGTAACGATTGACCAACCAAAACTTATACCCACTACGCCGCTGTCCAGAAAAACGTTAATCGTATGTTTTTAGAACCTTTAAATTCTTAACCGCTTTTTTGATAATTTTGTTTTTTGCATAACATTCTTAATATACGGGCATTTTAACAATATTTTGATGGTTTATCCAGTAAATCAGGGCGATTTATGTCTACATTCGTTTGAACTTTTGCATCTGCGTGTTTCCAGTAGGCGAAGCGCTAACTAGTTTCACCAACCATCCCATGTAATAGTTTTTGCATTGTTGATTCAAGCTGGATACGAAAACTTGTGGTCCTCCGTCAGAAGAAGCTAAAATTAATTTCGTCTGGCGCAGGATTTAGGAGTGTCTGTCATAGAGCGATTAATAGCAAAAGAGACTATGTACAGAAAATGTTAGTTTGATCGTTACTCGTGGCCTTGTGTCAGACTAAGCTCTTCCTCCTCGAATGAACCTTATGTTGAATGGTTAGATCCAGTAATCACAATCTTTTTTTGACTGTACCAAGTGAACTTGGTACAGTCAACGGTCACATCTTCTACTAAACGTCCCATTATCTCATTTTAGAGACGGTATCTCCTTGCCGTTAACAGTAATATTCATCTACCAATAAATGAAAGTTTATGAATGTTTGGTGATTCCTTCTAAGATCGAATTCAACACTATACTTCTAACGCCCCCGATTGAGATCTAAAATGTTATTCCCAAATTATTTTTTCTCTCCCAATAGGAATAGATAAGTTTCCCTATTGTTCTTTTTTTTTATATAGGAGTAGGGGTTTATCCCTTGTTTCCTGTTTAGGATTGGGTTTTCGGTTCCTTCTAAAGTCTACTTCAACTCTAAACTTCTAACATCTCCGACTGAACTTGGAAACATTATTCACTAACTAGCAGTAGAGCCCGGCGTTGCCCGGGGATGTAACAGTAAGAGAGAGATCAAGTATCGACCATCATAAAGACTGAAAAATAAAATTGACAAATATTATTGTTTATGGTTGATGGACACACATGTCTTAATTAGTTTTTTGTTTTTGTTTTTCTTATTTTTTAACGAATTGGTCAAGCCCAAACTCAAACAAAAACATTGCTTTCAATCGTTATGAGTCTACCGATTGAATAGAATTTTATTATAAACAATTGTCTTGTAAATAGAATTTTTAAAGCATTCTGAATGTAAAAATAAAGAAAAATGTGTGCAAGACAATAAGAAACACTACCTGCCAAAAAAAAGTGAAGTTTTGTTGAAATCGGTTGAAAAGTGTAGGAAATCCGATCCCATATATAAATGAACACACACACACACACACACACACACACACAACCTGGGTTTTATAATAAGTATAACTCGATATGAGTTGTCCCCCTTTCATTCTGGCGACAGCGATCCTCTTAATTGATTTCGTACAAAAACAATTGTTTTTCCAATTTTGGGCGCTGTCAGAACCACCGCAAGGTAATTATACGTAGTCCTTTGAAGTTTTCTTGAAATCGGTTGAAAAATGTAGGAAATCCGATCCAATATATAAACGAACAGACACACACACGCACACACACACACAACCTGGGTTTTATAATAAGTATGATTAAATCTTGACCTCTTCAAGTCTAGAGTTAGTCGTTATTTTTCCCGCATAGCACCAAGAACTTCACTTCTTGCCATTTCTTACGCTCATACGCCACCATATAGCGACCCTCTACCTTGAGTAGCTCTTGGGCCTTGAATTGGGCGAAACATTAAAAAAACAAACAAACAAAAAGAACGGCAGTCGGTCGTAGTACGCACCGCTATGTTTTACCCCCTCCCTGCATTCCAAAAGTTGGATTTTTTGTCGCGGTTTACTCCTCATTGCTTAGAGTACCCGGTGTTCCCAAAGCGTACCCTGTCTATGTACACTCCATACTCGATGCTACTTAATTTTGGTGATCGATTTCAACGTGATTTGACCGTAAACAACTAAGCTTAGTAAATATGAGTTTGACCACCAATCATGAGGATTAAAGAACAAATTACTTTTGCACAACACTAAATAGCTTTAAATAGAACAGAGAGATATTTTAATGTCAGTCTTTCATGTTGGGATGGATTACTCGACGGTCAATATTCTAAATCTTAATTTATTTCATTGTGCACATTTCTGTCTCCCTTAACCAAATAAGTATTTCATTTATTAATTCGGTTGTAATTAAAGATCTCGATATCAGATTTGACGAGCTCCACGAAAATAATATATGCAGGCACGTTGCTTGATTTTGTCATTGATTGATTTGATTTGTTTTTTACGGCTTATCTACCCTTTCTGAATTATTTAAAGCCGAAACATATTTCGTGTTGGAGGAGGTCATTTACAATACCTGGTCTTCCTAAGTAACCCACTCTATTTAAGTACTGACCGGGTTCGACATTGCTTAACTTTGGTGATCAAACGAGAACCGATGTTCTCAGCGTGTTGAATTTGTCAGCCAGTGTAAATATCGTGTAGCCGTTCCAACAGAACGTTAGAAAACCTGGCATACTAATCGAATATGTGCACGTAGTACATAGTACATCATAAACTGTCACCTTGAAACATACGTACCGCATAAAAATGGTACTCAACCTAAAAGAATAAAAAATAAAATAAAAATTCTTCACCAAAATCCTGACGAAGCATTTTGAGGATTTCGGTAGCGGATTTACTGAGTTTCTCACAAAATATGATACAGACACGTTGCTTGAATTCGTCAACCAATGTAAAGATCTCAGAGCCGTTCCAGTACGTTCGTTTAGTAATTGAACACGAATAGAGGACACAAAGACTATCAGCAGACTGACTCGGTAGGCTGGGTAGCAATTAAAGTTATCTGCTTGCGCGCCTTTCTAGAAAAACGATATAATAACAGCACGTAGAGTTCGTTCAGTGTCTTTCCGATACCATCTCATATGTGCGCTAGTCTAGGAGATTAATAAAACTGAGTGGTGATCTTGTTCTTCACTGGGTGTCACACAGTTGAAGTCGTATGCCAAAAGTAAGTTAAAACTATAATAATTATTTGAATGCTCACAAACTAGAATCTGCCGGCAGGCGCCATAGCTGATTCCACACAAGTAAAAGACTTGTTTGCTTGGCCAGCGACAATCTTCATGCTGATTTCTTGGATTTTATTTTATTTTCTTGTACTGTGTTGGTGATTGGTCGTATCCGCATATTCAGCTTACGGCCATATCATGTTAGAACACCGGTTCCCCATACGATCACTAAAAGTTAACCAACGTTGAGCCTGGTCAGTACCTAGATGAGTGACCGCTTGGGAATACCAGTTGCTGTAAGCTTGGATGTGCGGGTGGTGTAATGGATAATGGCGATGGAGTTCTAATTCCAGTTGGGCTTGTTATATTCACACGCGCAAATACACTTGGAAATGGTATGAATCCACCTCTTCTCCTCCCAGCTATGGGTTAATTAGTAAGTCTTGTATCACTGTATTTTAAAGTTTGTATAACGCTCGTAGCTGCTGATTAGTAAAACTGTAAGGAAAACAAGCGAACAAACGGTTGTGTGAAGAAGGGGTTAATCACGCGAGAATATACCGTAGTTTAGCACGACTGAAAGCGCTACGCCTTAGTGACCCACTTTTCGCCACTATGCCATGAGCAGACGTTCTACTCATAGCGGATGGATGAGTCCATGTTTGAATAATAGTTTAAAGAATGTTAGACAGTCTTTCTACACAACACACAAAAGAAAAAAAAATTCTTACAATCTAAAAATATTTTTTGGCTTTAAATAACGTGCAAAGGGTTGATAAACCGTAGAAAACGAATCAATCAGCATTTTCAACCGACACTCGACGGACCTTGAAATACACAGCCATTTAAATAAATAAAAAAAAGCTTGGTGAAACAATTTGATACAAGGCAATCACACTATGTACAGTTTTGAAATTTTCCGATACTGATTTGTATCCATACACACACACACACACATATTTATTTACAATAGCTAGTATCCCTAAGCGGTCAGGCATCTGAGTACTGCACAGGTTTAGCAGATGTCTTTTCAATCGACTTTAAATAGGATGGTCAAAATCCGGAGAGCTATTTTGGACTTGCACTTACAAGTCTGAATCTGATATACTTGCCATGGACCACCTTTATATACAGGGTGGTCCGAAAGGTTTATCACACCCTACCTCTCTTCCAAACTGTTGGAGCTCGTGTCAGCCATCTGAAATAGAAAATTATAATATGTAGGAGTGACAAGACTTTTGGACCACCCTGTAGATTTTCATTTATTTTACATGATGAGGAAATGAACAATTAGGTTCTTTTTTTTTTGTCTCTGTGGGGTGGGAGGTATCACTGCTATGTGAGTATTAAACCTACCCACTGTAACATATGCTAAGCCTTTCTTGCTCTCTCTCTTTCTTTCTTTCCTTTTTAATAACCTTCTATTGGAAACAACAACCTCAAATGATAAACAAATCCGAAACACCTGTTTAGTGTTGGGTTTCCTGGTTTGATAACTTTTCTCAAACAAAAATACACCTACATATCTACCTACTAGATTGCACATCCACACACATATGCATGTACACATATAAAACAGGAACTTTTGTGCACATATCTATACATATATATATTTGAACTTGTGCACACATGTATACATATTTGAATTTGTGCGTACATACGAACGTGCAAATAGCTCCATATGTATTCTTCTTTTACCTTATATCTCCTTTTAGAACGTGGGGGATCATGGCTCGGCACAACTTGTGCTTTTTTTTTTGTTTTGTTCTTAATAACTTTTGCTCTTTTACCATCCCTCTAAGAAGGTTACTACTTTTTCTTTCTGTTTTTCTTGCATGTCTCGTGAATGTTAAATTCTCCAAGCACTCTTTCCTCATTATGTTTCGCAGAAAGTTCAGCTGTTGTCCTTAAAACTTCCTCCTTATTCACGTGGTCTGTCTATGGTATTTTCAGCCTTCTGTTGCTTCAAGTTTCCTCTTCATTTGTAAGGAAATTGTCCCTAGTGATTACATAGCAATATCTGTCTATATCTCTGAGATGAGGTATTGTAATTATTTACACTTATTATTTACTAATTATTTACATTGTTCGGACTGTTGTCCACATGTTTGTTGGCCTATTCACGACGTTTCAGCCGTTGTACGCTCCGGCCTTCCTCAGGATTGAAATCTCAAACTGAACACTTTATATATTGAATTTCGATTTAAACCCTTTGCATATTGTTATATATATATATATATATATATATATATATATATATATATTTAAATAGATAGATAGATAGATAGATAGATAGATAGACCTAGTGAGCCAAACAAACCTACCTAGGTTTCACCTAATTTATTCAACAAAAAAAAAAGGGAGGGATATTAAAACAAACATTAAGGTGGAATGACAAAAAAAACGGGAAAGATCGTCTAATTTAGTATCTATCTATCTATCTATCTATCTATCTATATATATATATATATATATATATATATATATATATATATATATATATATATATAGAGAGAGAGAGAGAGAGAGAGAGAGAGACAAGCCTCTCATCAACGGACTAATAGGGCGGATGAGTGATCCGTTAAAGCCGATTGTCCATAGATGGGAAAGGACTATTTTTGTGCTATAAAACCACTATAGTAACTACCAGTAGTTACGATCATAATGTAAATACTGTAAACACACACATATATATGGTATAAATAAATATATACTTAATATAGATATATTAATCAAAATAACAAAATAATAGATTTTTCACAGTTACATTCTCACGCACGCGTTAATGTATCGTACTTTATATACTGTACACCCGTCTTTGTCTACAATTGAAAGGGCTGCCAACGCCGCTAAGCGGTTACTTTCAGTACTAATACGACGCGTTCCGCTAAGTCCATAAATTTTGAAATACATCGCTGACGATTTGTAAGTTTTTTTCCCCGTAGATTTTTTAAATTTTGCCATCAGATTATGTCCGTTGCATCGGAAGTCCGTTGATGAGGGGTCAGTAGATGAGAGGTCTCTCTCTCTCTCTCTCTCTCTCTATATATATATATATATATATATATATATATATATTTTTTAGTCTGTATTTTATTACAGATAGATAAATTCAATTCTTTCTGATACGTACAATGCTGTCCCTACATAGTACTAAAAGCATATCGGATTAACCGTATACTCGGATAATCGGGTTTCATTGTCATTCGGTTTTCAATTTAATGATACATTTCTGATTAACTATATTTTTTCAAGTACAGAGCAACCTCGGTTCTCGGACGTCTCAGATGTCGAACAAATCGTTTTTTTTTTTCAACAGAAAATTCGCGATGAAAATGCCTCGGTTATCGAAAAAATTTCGGTTCTCGAACAACATTACCGAACTGAATTAACCCGAACGGAATAATTTCTGAGTCGACAGCCGTGTTGTATATATTCGTGTGTTGTGACGTGCTTTTCTATTCCAATTTTATCGTACTGTGTATTTTTTTTCTACATTGATTCCTATTGGAAAAATAGTTTCGGTTTACGAATATTTCGGTTACAAACGGCCTTCAGGAACGAATTAAATTCGTGAACCGAGGTTCTACTGTAATTTGTTTTGTTATAAACACAAACAAATAATAATAAGTTGTTCGGATAATAATGTCCGACTTTAAAATAGACCTTTTAATTAGATACTTCCATAAAATCGTTGAAATAAAGAGTATATGATAAAAAATGGCCCCAAACTTGATAAAAACTAGGTTTTATGGTCAAAATCTGTATGTTATTATTAAGAGGCAAGACCAAAGTAATTTTTATTTAATTATAGTTTTTAAACCTTTTTAGAACAATCGAAATGTTGGCTAAAAACTTTGTTTTTCTTACATTAGCAGATGGACTATAAATTAGCATAGCAAATTTTAGCGTCTTTTTTTTTTTGCGGTGAAAGACACATTGATTTGGAAATGTTTGCAAGAATCAAATAATTGTTGCGTTTTTAAACTTTCAGGACTTGTTCACAAATAAATTAAATTATTTTTTTAAATGTTTCCTTTTAGAAAATGTTGGTATAATTCTTTTTTTACATGCGTTACACCCGACTTATTTAATTTTATGAAAACTCATGAAATTCAACGAGGTAATTTTTAGTGACTATATTAGTTAAAATGAGAACTCCTTGGAGAATTTAGATCATCAATATTTTTTTTTTTTTTTTTGTAAAATTGGACCCCGTTTTACCGAAAATCTGCTCTGCATTGTAAAATAAAAAACACAATAAAACTAAGATATTATTTTATTAGAAAAGCTTTTAATTGCTTTTACGAATAAAATATATTACAGACACTATTGTCTTAAGAAAAGACATTTTGATAAATTTTTACAAGATTTGTTTTCTTTTTTTTTAAATAGAATAATTTATAAAGTTTTTAAATCTGTTGAAATTTCAGTTTCAGTGGTGTAACGGTTAGGGAATATTGCTATTAAGTACAGCTAAATGGAAAAGATTATTACAATTTGAGGTATCCAAGTATTTTAAAACGATTTTTGAATTGTTTTTTGTATGTGTAAAAAGGCGCCGATTTTTGTAGATTAGACATTATCAAAAAAATAAATGAGCGGTAACTATAGTAAATTTAAAGCCAAAATATCTAAAATTCAACAAAACATTAGATTACGGAGACTATTTTCCTACATTTTTAAGATTACTGAGTATTTTAAAATTATATATAAAAGACGCTCACGTTATATTATTCAGTTATGTTTTTACGCATAAAGCATAAAACAACATTAGATAAACATCGATCTGTCATCAAGCTATCGGCATCTCAAAACCTTAAATAAACAGCTACCGCTGTGTTAAAAAAATTAAATTATGCGATATATTAAACTTAAAGCAAATAATAGTTGTTTTAAATCAAATTACTTATATTTTAAATCAGCTAATATTCTTTAAATAAAGTTTCAGGTAAGTATATTTTATTTTTGGAAGATTTTTAATAAAGAGAATTACATTCTGATGACCGGTGGCTAAAAATGACGCGAAAATAAAAAAATTCAACCATTTTCAAAACGAAAACTCTTTCTGTTCAATTTAAATTAGTTTTGAAATAGAGTAAAGTATTTTTCCTATTGGAAATATTAAATTTAATCTATTAACTTGTAATTAAAACTAAAATAAAAACCTCTCACGAAATATTTTTCATTTTTAAAAATTCATTTCAAACCTTAGGTATCGCGAATCTGTGGAGGTACCTACTTTTAATTGTGTTCTAATATATTATTATAATAGTTGCTCAAAAATATATTAACCATTCT